AGGACAAGTAGGATGCAAGTGTTTAGTGCTTCCGCACGTGTAACACCGTCGCCCTTCATGTTGCTGCTTCGCAACATGAAGCTCCGCTTCACCTTCATCTTCAGCATGGATGAGATCCACCGGTACAGGCTTACATCAATTCGAGGTGCTTGTAGAGGTTGCTCTCGCAAAGCTTGGGTTATAACCGTTCCAACCAAGTCTGGCCAACCTAAAGTTGTGGTCAGCGTTTTGAGCGATGTTCACAGCCTCTTCAAATGAGGTGGGACGGACCCAAACGACTCGGTGCTGGCCACGCCAGTGCAAAAATCTTACGTGAAGACATTCACATAAATTGTCTCAGGGAGAGGGTCGGACCGCCTAGCATCCATCAGAGTTCTCAACTCTTGGAAATAGTTTGCCAACCTATTTTTTTCTGACGGGTGGATAAGAATCGTGAGCGCACGCAATCAGCCTGAATGGGCGGCAAGACAACTCACAACAGGTCTAATTTGAGCGAATCCCATGTGGGAAAAGCCAAGTCAACCGACGTGCCACACGTCAAAGCCCACTCTCTAGATCTTCCATAGAGATTAGAGATGGCCAGCGAGACTCGATGATGTTCAAGTGAAATTAGGCCATATCTCATGAGCATCTTAATCTCACGGATCTACAGGGTGAGACTTTCTCCCCTTCCTTCCCGGAGTAATGTTTGACGTCCACCATAAGGGGACGAGGCTCATACTTTTCGTCTGGAATTGCCACAAAGCGTGTTGGCATAGCCGACGCTATTTGGTTTCAAAACTTCCCTATAAGGACCGTTTAATACAGCATGAAGGTCTCTACGCGTGTATTTAGTACATCGGGACTTTGCGCAGCTAGGAACTCCACTTTTTCTGGAACTGAGGCTGTGGGTAGCTTATCAATCGCGACCATTTTGACCTCAGAAAGAGACGTGGATTGTTCCATCCTCAAAGAGGATCAGTCGTAAAGGCTCAGGCGTAAATTGACTGCAAGTTATACCAAGGGTAGTGGAGCTACATATCTCCTTAAGTCAAAGGAAGTTTTAGTGCTCTACGAGCAACTTTGGTTCTAAGAACTCGACTCAGAGAGTCAACAAGCTCAGAGAGCTTACGGTCCCCGTTCCATGGGACCAAATGATTCGAGAATCACAGCACAGAGTGATCTAAGAGTAGCTGTCTTAACAAGGCGTACGCTAGGCTCTGAACGATCTCAAGACGCGTGTCTTTGACAAATCAAATGGGGAACTGAACTTTATTTCTTCTACTATAGAATGTACACCTCAGACGAACGTACTTAATCTAGACACTAATGTTCTATTAAAAACCTCCTAAAAGATCACGTAATTCGGTGGCTGACACACATCACACCCCCCAACAACTGATATGGTGTTCGAATATCATTTTTAATGGGAAATCGTCCTTATGTAAACCACACATGTTGTACCACCCGTTACAGTGACAGATCAAAAGAATGAGAAAGTTGCGTAGATAAACGTGCGAGAGCAGAAGGAGAGGTCAAGGGAGAGTGGACGGCAAAGCCTCATGTTCCAACGATAGAAGAGCGATTGAGACGACGGTTATATAGAAGAAGCTATATAGTCACCAAGACTTCAGATGGTAAAAAAGAGCGTAAGCAACAAGAGAAAGGAGAAGAAGCGCAGTGCAAGTGTCGATTCGGTATCATCGAGTTGCGTAATAAGTTGTCTGTCCTCTATGGGCAGTTCATAAAACCACGTTCGTCTCGAGTTCTTCTTGCATCTTTTTTTTTGATTCGTACGGCTGAGGACGGAGACATCAGGTCCATCTCTCGTATTTGATGAGATGGAAACTCAGTCGACGCTAGAGGGTGGTGCTGGTATGACCGCCACTATTTTACGTGGACAGCAGCTACGTAATACAAGCAAATGTTGGATGCAGAAATCGAAAATCCTCCAGGAGAACCTTCTAAGGTGCTTCTTCCAGGTACAAACGCTAGCCAGGCGAACCGTAGATATTTCTAAGAACGGACGTACCTCCATTTTATCCCTCGACTCAAAGCTCCTACTCTGTGTGCCCTAGCACCGAAAGCATCGTGCTGTATAGCGGGACGAGTCGTCGCATAATAATACCTAGCACGTCGACGCATCCGACGTTTACCTATATGTTTTCCTTGGGTCTTATTTCCATGACAATATCCATTGTTAAATATTTAATTAGATGTCGTAAAAAGATGGATGAATAATAATAAATGCCGTTGTCAATCAGGAAGATGTAAAATGCTGTAAAATGTAAGAGGATAGAATAGTTCACTTAATAAAAGATGCACCACAAAAATAAAATGAAAAAAGTGCATCTATGTAACGTACAGTAATAACCAATATACACATTCCTGGAGATTAGTCATAGACATCTGCGCATAACTGCTTCATTCCTTTCATATTTTTCGATTACTACAACTCTCAATATTTTTGTCGACAGTCGTTTGTCATAAGAAAAGCTTGAGTCGACGCTTAAAAAGTGATCTGTAAGTATTTTAATCGTTGCATAACCGAAGAACGTTGCTTTAAACACCATCATGTATATTACTGGTACAACACCTGCACCCTGCAACGTGCAGGTGTCGTCTTGGCTGTATCGAATGAAAATAGTATGAGGTAGCGCCGTGCGAAATGGGCACTTCCACAATACTGCGTATGATATGTAGGTACGTCACGAGGCAGCAGGAGATGGAGATTGACTCAAAAATGAGACGACGGGATCATTAGGGGATGACAAAGTTTATTTTTGCGATCCAGGTGATCGCGTGGATGATTTCTGCCACAAAGGTAAATCGCACGCTAACAAGGCGCGAATTACTGAGGGAATGTTCAGATCGCCGCTAGTTTCGTGGCTGCTATAGGTAACAGCAATTTTGTCTTCGATCCAGACTTTGCAGTATGGATATTATGAAAAGATAGCCTCAATATTGATTACATTGTCCGCATCGTGTGACCTGAGATGGTTCTCGATGGGACCATTCGCACGACCCTGCATGAAATCGTCATCAACGCGTGCTCATAAATCAGGTTGGTTGTGGTGCAACTCACAAGGTGGAGAATGTGCGTATTGTAAGCGTGCACGTCTCGATCACCTGGCCTGCCTGAGTTTCAATACATCGGATCGTGCACAGAAATATGCCATTGGCGGCTCAAACATCCGTAGAAGCCGAGCCTTGAGACCTCCATTGATCAATACGCATGTAGTTCGTTAAGATTGGGCACTATGGTCCAAGGTTTGGCTCGTCTAGTCAAGTTTAACTGGGCGAATGCGACCTTCATCTCTTCGATGCTGATACGACAAGCCCTTGTGGTGTTGTCAAGCTCGACATACTATCTCAGCTGGGAGGCTTTCTCGACTCCCTTGTAGTTGTAGATGTCGATTGTCAATCTTTCGGGTCAACGCAAGTGTATTGGCCCGGTAATAGTAGCATGAGCTTAATGCTGTCTTAACAGTTCCGACTACTGAACACCCTTCTACCTCAGCAGCCGGGACTATTGAGAACCTTGCTAGTGAAGCAAGTTTACTTGGGTCCGTGACGCGTCAAGTGCATGCTGATGATGAACTTGACGATAGGGGCATGTCTCTTTTCCGAGCGAACAACATGGCGTTGACGGCAGGTTTGCCTGCGGTCAATCTCAAACATTTTTTTGACCGCAGCTCATGCGGTGATACTCAAATGGACAAAGCCTCTACACGTGGCGTGAAGCTATCATCTTCATCATTCAACACGTCCATGTCGGATGGAATGTCCGTGGTTGTTGGACCGGCCACGAATTGCCACTAGGCATAACGTTGCACCGATGCTTGTGCTATCTTAATAACACGATTTTTGCTCTGACTACACAGTGTGCACATGGTTATACTGACTACACTGTGCATGTAGTTACACTGACTAGTGTGCATATAGCTATACTGACTACAGTGGACATGTAGTTACACTGAGTACACAGTAGACATGTTGTTAGGTGCCTCGAAGCCTCACGTACACTGTTCGTGTAGAGGAAGCTATGCTCTGTCAACGAAACACTGAGTAGAAGGGAAAGTAGCACTGAATTAAATCTATCGTTGACACCTTCTTTGTTATTAGGATTCTTCCGATCATCGTATTTGAACTGTAGCAAACTAAAACTTCTAATGTAGCTTCTTGCTCACCTCCCTCCACACTGCGCTCGTCTAGCAGTTATTGGTGGTATAGTTGGTTGTTAGAATGACTTATAAAAGCACATGAGAAAGCCAATGAGTGGAGCAGTGCCGAGTTTTTCCTTCGACAGTCCTATTTGTTCAATATTCACTGAACGAGGTAAATATCGGAGCATCGTATTAATTAAGATACTATTCGCATTGACCCATTTTTGCTGTCAGTGACATGTAAAGGGGCTCGCTCCGTTACCTATACGCTCGTGACGGTGATGCTAACGCAAAGTCTACAGGTCGGCATAAAGCATACAGCTCGTTGCAGCTTGAGCTGCTCCCTTTGCAAGTCACTTTGTTTTGGGTACGACTTCCCTGAGCTGAAGTCCGACCGGAGCATCGTAAGGCGAGATGTCATAGTCTGGAATCAACTCTATTAACTCGTGTTCGGGTACGACTTCCCTGAGCTGAAGTCCGACCAGAGTATCGTAAGCCGCGAGATGTCATAGTCTGGAATCAACTCTATTAACTCGTGTGCGTGCCGACGCAGCATTTGTTCGCATTTCTTGTTGGCATCCAATGGGACGCGCCGTGCTTTCGGGACAGCAGAGGATCGACAGTTTGATTTATTGATGCTCTGGCCGAACTGAGAGGACCAGGAAGCAGTTGGGCAGTAAAAGTAGGTCAGACCACGCACCCCGTCTTGCGCGCTTTTCAACGAAGAGGCGTATACTATTACCTGCTTCGCTGTCTATCTGATGATGGATGTCCCTGCGCGTGGACATAACTAGATCGGTATGGCTGCGTACATATATCGATTCACGACGCATGTACAAGTGAATCGTGACCTGATCACTTGGCGGGCGGCTGCTGAATTCGTCCTTGCCGAGGTAGGATGGACGACGTGTCCAAGTTCGCCGCTGTCGGGCCTAGTTGCGCTGGCATGGGGATCGGCGTCTCCGTATCGATGGGGATATTGGGCGAGCTGAAGCCAGCAGTCAGCGCCGACAACATCGCAGTGCCGCTCGCAGACGACACATCGGCCAGAGGCATTGTGGCGGGCGCACCAAGCGCATTAGTGGTGTTGATGGCGTTCGTGTTGCTCAACAATCGAGCAATCATCGCCACCTTCTGCGACTCGGAACAGTCAGTGCGGTTCAGGATTAATTGAATCTTGTTCTTTACCTCGGGCATGCGGTCTAGCACATGCAATAACGTCGATGTGGTCACGGGCATCGGTGCAGTACGCTGTGCGTCACTGCCACTGGATGTAGTTGCGATATCCACAGCCATACTAGCATTCGCTTCATTCGCACCCACGCCATGGACCAATCCGCCCCACGCTGCTGTCGTCGCTGCATTTATTGTTTGCGCCTGTGTGCCTGCCGGAGCTGTGGTAGCGGTAGCTCCTGCAGCCGCCGCGCCCGTAGATGGCATTGTTGAGGTGGACATCACACTAACAGCATTCGCTTCGCTTGTAAGGCTTGCAGCGTGCAGGCGGCGAGGCATTGATGTACTCACGGTTACTCCAAATACCGAGCCAGCACCCAGCATTACGTCACCGCTGGCTGAAAGTGGGGACCCGTCACGTCCAGCAGAAGCCACGACCGCCGCCGCCTGTATAGCCACAACTGCAGCCTCTTTACTGCGTTTAATCACTTCGTCTGGATCTAGCAGAGTTCCTGGAAGAAGCGAAATCATGTCTGTGTGCGATTTGTGCGGCGGCGGCATCGCCACAGGATTCGACTTTATGGCTGCTACTGGTGACACAGAAGCCTTTTTTAACGCCTTCGCGCTGACTTTAGCAGGAGTAGATGGGGCCGAAGCTGGAGTCAAGGCCTGCGAAGACGAAAACGACGCAGCCGTGAGTGACGCTTTTGTGCCCAAATCCGCTGAGCCCAAAGCAGGCGGCGCCGCGGTCGATGCAGATGTCGCGGAAGTAGTTTCGGCAGGAATCGGAATCGGCGGTGGCGACGTCTTGCGCTTCACGCACTGAATAATAGCGTCAAATGAGGCTTTTATAGACCTCAAGTCCTCCAGTCCTCCAGCAGACGTATAGATTGCCTTTTTGCCGACATCACCATCAGCGGCAACTTGTCTTTGTCTGTAGGCCAGCGTCAATCCCTTCTGGCTCGGTGCACCCGCAATAGAAGGTGGCGGTAAACCAGGAAGAGAATAACGTCGTGGAAACTTTGCAAGCAATTCGTTATGTGCCAATCCGATGCGCGTGTCCAGCCCTGCGGCCGCAAGACTTGCACCACGGTGGACTTTAAATGAAACATTGGGCTTGTCTTCGTTCGTTATAGCGGCTGTTGCACCGGCTGAAGCCCCGCTTGCAACCGCAGCGAAACCGCATGAAATTATCTTGCCGTAACGATCATAACATTGTCGAGGTGAGCGCTTATTGCAGACGAAACAAGAAACCGCAGTAGTCGAATTGAAGACCTGCGCGATGAGAGTCCAGTTGGCACCGTAAAGTTCAAACAGTTTCTTCAGGATGATGTCATCTTGCACGCTCCAAACGTCACGCCCAGACTCGGGAAAAGACATACTGCTTTTCCGGGCTCGGCCTGTTCCCACTTTCAGCTTTTTCGAGCTTTTCTGAGAGCCTGTCTTAAAACCTGAATCAACATGCGCTCCGATACCACCACCGACCATACCGCTCGCCGTCGATGCCGAAGACGCACCTGCTCCACTGGATGATGTACCAGACGAAGAGGCTATAGAGGATACCGTCGTTTCAAGAGCGCCCACACCAGTACCCAAAATGCCGCTAAAAAGAGCAGGATCATCCCACTCGGCCGAATCGAGAGCATCCAGATTTGTGTCCCCCCAAAAATCATCATCAGGAAATTCAGATACGTCGGAGACAGGAATTCCCTCGAGGTCCACACGTCGCTCCTTCTGAAGCCCCGACTTCATCCCGCCTAACTGCGATTCAAGCTTGCGTTTGACACCGGCAGAGTTACTTGGCAAGTCCGTCAAGTTCGAACCAGGTACTGATCCAAGCACACCTGCTCGGGCTCCCGCGACAACAGCGATGCTGACCCGCTGTTTCTTGCTGAGCTTGTTAAATCTGGACACGTCTCCGTGCTGGCCGACAATGTGATCAAACTTCGACTTTCCAACGTGAGGGACTGGTGGGACAGGAGCCGGCACAAGATATGAAACCCGGAACGTCATCCGGGTGTCGATGCCCGTGGCAAATGCCCCCGGCTGTAATCTTGCAAGACCCAAGCGAGGTACTTGTGGAGGCATGTAGACGTCAAAACACGTTTCCATGCCTTGCATACGCATCTGCATAAACAGATCTTCAAGCGCGCTGTTACCCACTGTACCGCTAAGGGATTTGACGCTGTGAAAAAGCTGCGCAACAGCATCGCCTTCTCGCCACTGCCTGTTTGCTTCAAAGACAGCCAGAGTCTCAAATGAGCGCTCGCCCAATTGTGAGAGCTTGTCTCCTGTATCCCAAGAAGGACCGCTCTCTTCTTCAATTCTTTCAGCGACTCGCTCGGCTCTCCTCTCGTCACCTCGTTGAGGATTTTTATCGGTGATGCTGTGGACGTAGTCGACGGCGTACCATTCGACTGGATTCAGCTCGTCCGTATTGGCCAACAAAAGGTGTTCCTCTGCATGCAGGTCCACGTTGTGTACCACGAGAGGTACTTCTAGCTCGCTAGGACCCCCGCAATACTTTTCGTTTATTTCCACCTCTTGAGCCACACTGGCTAGGTCAACTATCGCCCCAGTAGCCGTCAACCCATTCGTGCTGCTACTCGTCAACGACCACCAACTGGGTTTTTCAATCATCGACGCCATATCAGACGGCACAGCAAGTAGCTCTAGTGGACTCATCTTACTAAACACTTTCTCCGTGAGAAAAGCCCCCACGCTTAGTAATGATGTCTCGACAGTATTTTCACAGTGTAGTCGGTAGACTGGAAGAGTTTCAGCACCACAAGCAGCTATTTTAGCCCAACTTGCCCGAAGTTTTGCATCACATGTGGCATTCCAGTCGCCATCAACGACTACGATCGCTTCGCTGCCATACACTGAAGCTGCCAGAATGCCGTTCGAAGTGGACAGACGAGTGGACGCGAGCGCCACGCGAACTACACGGCGATTAGCGAAATGGTAAAGCGCACGACGCTGCATGGCTAGCGAGCCAGTAATGCGCACGCAACCGATATTGAGCAAAGAAAGTAGAAGCTCTAAGACGGGAAACATACCATGAAACTGGCAATATATCACCACCTTCTTGCCTTCTTGAAGCGTCAGTCGACGTAGCAACGGTTCCAATGTCTTCAATTTCGCAGAACAATCAGCCAGCAGCCGCAAATCAGCGTGTCCCAGCTTGTCCGTATCGTTCACAAGATCAACGCAATTACAGATCCGACGTAAGCGCAGTAAAAGTTGCAGCCAGACTCTCAGCCGCTGTTCGCGGCCACCGGCAGCGTCTAGTGTCGCCATGAACCTAGCCAGCTCACCTCGGTATTGTGTGCTTTGCGACTGACTGAGTTGGCAACTCAAACTGATCTCTTCAATTTTGCGTAACTCGGGCTCGACTTCGCTGCGAACACGACGCAGACTGAGGCACGACATTGCCAGCAGTAACGCATTCACATGCCGCGCAGTATCGTTCGTCTGGGAAGACGCCTTCAACAAAGCTCCACGGACACTTGCCGATTTGCTGTATGCCTTCATCACCGCTGCCACAGATGACCTCTCCACTTGAATGTCCTGCTCAGGCCAACTTTCTATTCGATGCTGGCGGCTTTTGCGCACGTTGCTGTCACCAAAAGCGGGAGCTTCCCGCACCAGAAATTCTGCGTACTGCAGTCGCAGTGCAAGGCTTCTCCAGTTTTCAATTGACTGACCGTTACACAAGACTCGACGCTGCTGCTGTCGAAGCTGTTGCAGCGCAGATACACACACTGGGTCATCGAAACTACCACCATGCTCGTTCTCTACAACGACCATCTGCCAATACGGAAACGCCACAAAAGCTTGTCGGTCTTCATTGAATGCATTTACGGGGCACAGCACACAGTAAACAGGTTCAGCACATTCGTCGTCGTCCAACTCTTCGCCATCGTCGTCGTTAAGTAGGGCTACAAGAAAATCGTCTTCACCTGTGTGAGCTTGAACTCGAAGCTTGGTTTCCCACTCCCTTTGCAGCCTTTTCCTGTAATGTAACGTTTGATCAGCGCCATCGTAAAGCTGAACACGCCGGTCTGGGTGCCATATTCGAAGATAATGCCGCCACTTATGGAGCTCTTCGTCTGACACGACTATCAGATGTGGACCTTTGGCCTTTTTAGCCCGTGCGCGTCCTGGAGTACGTGAACGTACTGAGCCGCTTTCATTCTGCTGCTCATACTTATGAGACGACACGATCTCAATCAAGCTAAAGAAAGCGACGATCGTGGCTGCCTTGCCCATGCCAAGTTGATCATTCAGAAATATGTTGAGGCCACTCGAGTACAAGTCCAACATCCACCTTAACGCCAGAAGTTGAAAAGCGGCTAAAATAATGGTGGGCCCTCCTTTCGCCGGCGACGCGGTACACCGCGCTTGCAAATCCCGAAAGGCCGCCTCACGTAGAGACCGGGCGGTAGACCGATCCGCATTCGAACATCCGGTCGACAAAGAGGTCATGGCACTGCGCGCTCGCTTGCCTGCACTCACGATATAATTGACGTGTGCTTTGGTAGTTGCTAGCACTGTGTCTGCTTTCATCCCCGCTTCTTTTCCATCACTCTTCGCGTCAATCTTGCTGCTAGGTGCAATATCAATGGTATGATATTTTAGTGGTAAAGTGCCCTCACCCGCATTAACCATCACAACGTCTTCAAGGCTGTCACGTCTACTGTGGTCGCCGTACTGTGCAGCATGCCCACCACCACCAGTGTCATAAAAATTGGCACGAGTTGAGCGATCACCTGCAGCTTCAAGTCGCACTCTTGACCTTGCAGCAATGCGTTCCATCGTGCGCCAGAATGCCGAGATCTGTAGAGCGACGCTACGCGCCGTCTGACGATTGGCTAGTTCCTGACGCACGCTTCCTAGATTTCGCGCAACTATCACATCAGTTGCAATACGATACTGCAGCACTCGTTTCCAATTACGCTCCTGCGTAAAATCCGTCGCCATCCATTTCATTTCCTCCAGTAAGCAGTCCCAGTGAGTCTTGCAACGCGCTGGTGTTAACAGTTGTGGCAACTGTCGTTTTCGTGTCACGGATAGGCTGCGTTTATTCACTTCCTGGCGAAGACGCACAGACTCGCGCAGTGTTTGCTCAAACTTTATATTCACGTCTGCAGACACTAGAGCGCTTCGAGGCGTTGACACCGACCGTTTTAGACGTGCATCCTCGTTGCTGGCTGGCGGTGAAGCTAGCGAAACTGGCTGTTGTTGATCGTGACCAGCTCTGTTATCCAAAGCTTCCTCTTCCCGCCGCTTCTGCATGACATACTTGCTCGGAGGGGCCGATGTCCGCGCAACACAATGTACAGCGCTTTGAGTCAAACCTTCCTGGTGTTTCACAGCAGCACCGTTCCGCTTGTCTACGATTGCGCTCGTTGAACAAGCCTCTCGCCTGTCCGACTTCCCATTGAACTGCTGGTGCTTTTCTTCGCTCGACTTTGCCTTTTTCACAGACGCTTGATCCACCTCAACCCAAACCACTTCGGTCATTTGTGCCTCTGCCAGCTGTCGCTTTTTCAAGACCGTATCTTCACGTGTCTTCTCATTCATCACCGGCGCCGGCATGTCTATACTTGCACAGCTCGCAGCAGGAGACCAGCCTGTCGGAACGAGGCCCTGGACAGTGTCCACGTGCTTGTGCGTCACCATTTTTGTGGCTCGTACATCAGCAAGTACAGGTTCCTCTTTCGTCTCGGTCACGCCATGCTTTCTCACGTCCTTTACACGCTCAGGTACTTGCGCCAAGCCAGCTGCGCGCACCGCCTCGCGCTCGTCCACCAGCTGTCTACACGCATTCAAACACCCTTCGTAAGCATCGCAGACTGTCGGCTGCTTGCCGCACCGGGTCCCCACACCCGACTCACCGCACGAGCGCTTCGTGGTATTCGACGAGTTTCGCGCGAATCGCCTGGAGAAGGACCACGCTGCGGGTGTCTCGGGTGCTCCTGGTTCCCGTCATGACGGGCTGTTTCACTGCAGCAGACAGAGAGCGCACACCGATCAGATACCGGTACCAAACCGGTACACTACCTGCCGACTCCAGTACGCTCGGTCCAATCCATCGGCACTCTCTCTCTCTCTCAATGTATCGACAGACGTACATATTGTGTGCTTCTTCCCCAGTCGCGGCGCTACTGCATCTGCAACAACGACACAACGACACAACGACACACACACACACAGCCACATGGCCGACGTCAGCTCAGCTCTCACACAACGCGCAGTCGCATTCTCCCGTCGACCGCGTTGAACGACAACTTGGGCCAAACGCGAGCCACAAATCGCGTGCCAACTGCGCAAAAACGCGTCTTTTCTCGAGCGACAAAGTGCGCACTCGATCGACGAGACGTCGCTCGTTCGAATGCCGCGCGTTGCAGCGCGATCGGAGCTCGGGAACCAGTGGCAATCGCGCGTTTACGTGGATCAAAGTGGTGCGTGGCCCGTAGAGCGCGTCCGACCGCGCGCGACACGCGGTTCGACAGAGGACGACGAGGCGTTGCGGATGCACACCGAGCGAGGCGGACGACGTACACGTACCGGCTAGTGCAGCAGACACTTTTGGGCGGCCTTTGCGCAAACACAAACGACGCGCGGACTTTCACGTTCTCTCGGCGCGCGGTGAAAGTTTCTCCTCCCTTTGCATACTTATGCGGTTGGAGAGGTTAACGGGCGGTCCTGGCCGGCGCCTGGTTTCAGCGAATGAGAAACGAGGATCGCGTGGGTTGTAGCGAATGGGAACGCGTGCCGAGCGACGGCGTTTCAGCAGCTGCTGCGTGAGGCTGTAGCGTAGGTTGGATCCTGTGGACGTGCCCATCTCATGTTAGAGTGAGGAGGAGGAGGATACGGACGACAGAGGGGAACGGGGTCGGCTTTTACTCGTCGTGCGTTTTTAAACGCATCGCGGAGCTGGATTTATCGATAGAACGGTTTTACAAAACGAAACGGCGTTGTAGCAGCACATCCGACGAGACCTCGAGTTAGGAATAAAACGACGAAACGAGACCCACGCACGGATCGCTGCACAGAAAGCGCTTGTCGCGCCGAGTAAATAAGTCGACTATCAAAGCACTGCGGTAGACAGCGTAGCAAAAGAACGCTTTTTTCTTGGCCGCAAGATCGAGTAAATGATTCGACTTTGGGTGTAGTATGCACTATGGTCGGGTGTGTCTGGAATGCGCTCACAGGATACGTACGTACGTGACGGCATTCGATTGCGCGACTCTCACTGCGCTGGTCGCATTGTCAGCATAAACGGATGCGAGTGCGTGGCAGTGTGGTACTCACACAGCGCTGTGCCGGATATGTGCATTGTCCATCAACACCTGAGTGCTGATGGAATGAATGACCCACCATCGTTCATTGTCGTGTGCACACCGCTTGAACTGCTTGGCAGTGCCACGTTCTGAACCGATGCCCTTCAAGGATACAATCGTAAATGCAGTGCACCAACCACAGATCCATGCGGCAGCCATGCGACTGACTGTATCAGAACAGCAAATGGATATCCAGTGTGAAAGCACTGGCCCGAAACTGACGCTCAACGCCCTCACCGACGACAGCTACTTCTCAGTATGTTCGCGATGACAACGTCGTCGTCGGTGTCAGCCGACACGACGCGAGAAGCAAAGTGCTTTGCGTTTACGACCAGCTGTGAGACTCGAAGGTCGATGCAGCAAACAATGCCACTGGCGGCGAGTACGTGTGCGTCGTGTGCTTGCAATCAATAGTGAGAGTCAGGTCAAGTGCCAATCGAAAGAGCTGACGTTGTGCTCGTCTCGCTTGGCACTTGAGTTGACTCTTACTCCTCCTCAAAGTAGCAACTAACGCACCCCAACCACTACCAATTCGAGAGCTCCTCACCATAGCACCAGTCGAAACACAACACGTGCCAAGTCTTGCAGCATGTTCCCACGAAGCACTAAACACGACAGTCATTGTGCACCTCTGTGTCCACAAACGCACGGCTGATACCAAACAGTCCGATCATTGCCGCACACACACACACACAAACAAGAAAAGGTCCGTCTGTCGATGCAGTTTGAGCTCTGAGCCCAATCCCATCGACTGCGACTCCCTTTGCCTCCAAAAATGGGTCCATCGACCTCCGCTCCACAAACGTCTGTCGACCTTTTTTATCTGCGCTCGCTCTGAAAAAACAAATCCCCCAAAACCGTATTTAATTCTCCATAACGAATACCGTCGAATAATGCACTCCATCTTTGCCCCACCGAGTACCCTAATTCAGTATCGCTCGTCTAAGGCAGTCGCTCGCCCCGCGCCATGGACTTCCAGAACCGCGTGGGCTCCAAGCCCGGCGCAGGGGGCGTCGCGTCCGAGTCCCAGAGCAATGTCGACCGTCGCGAGCGCCTGCGGAAGCTCGCGCTCGAAACTGTCGACCTGACGAAAGACCCGTACTTTATGAAGAACCACTTGGGCTCGTACGAGTGCAAGTTGTGCCTCACGCTGCACAACAACGAGGGCAATTACTTGGCCCACACACAGGGCAAACGCCATCAGACGAACTTGGCCCGACGCGCAGCAAAAGAAGCCGCCGAAGCGGCCCACTCCACTGCTGCGGCGAACCTCCAGGCTGCCAGGGCCGCCGCTGCAGCCGCTGCGGCGCGACCTCGCGCGTTAAAGATTGGACTGCCAGGCTACAAGGTCACGAAACAGCGGGACCCGGACACAGGGGCGCGGATCCTGTTGTTTCAGGTCGCGTACCCGGAGATTGTCGACAAGATGCAGCCTCGCCACCGGTTCATGTCGGCTTTTGAGCAAAAGGTCGAGGCGCCGGACAAGCGATGGCAGTATTTGCTGTTTGCATGTGAGCCGTATGAGACGGTGGCGTTCAAGATCCCCAACCACGACGTCGACAAGAGCGAGGGCAAGCTCTTTAGCAATTGGGACAAGGTCGGCAAGACGTTTACGCTGCAACTGACGTTTGCAGAGGGCAATGCAGCGAGCAAGAACCCACCAGCGCCACCGCCACCTCGCCCGCAGCTACGGTATCTCTAGGCGACTCAAGCCTGCGTGCTTTCTTGATCGCCACGTCTCGACTTGCTGATCGACTTGTGACGCACGTGCTTGTGATATGCACATGAGGTGTGGTCTGCAGAAGCAAAGACAATGGTATGGACTGGTTGAGTGAGTCGTGTCGGCGAGGTCAGTGTGGCAAGGAAGCAACGCGCCTTGGCTCTTCGACCACAAAACGTGCGTTGCTTTGCTGTTGCCACTGCGATTACATGGAGCTTTGGTGGCGACTCGCGCCTGGTGCACGCGCTGTTTTCTTGCCAAGCAGAAGACCATGGGGCATCATCTCGGGATTACAAAGGGATGGCAGACAGAGAGCGTACCCCGCAGTATTGTCATTTTAATCAGCTGTCAATGCCGTATTCCGTTCTTACACACGACCTCGGGTATGATGGGGAGATCAGTAGAATATGGCTTCATCTCCTTTGAACCAAACTCCAGTACCCATCCACCAACTAGGTCGCCAGCAAACCCACGGGTTCACCTCCGTGGACCCATCCCAGTCGCGTCTCTCTTTCTCTCTCTATCTGTCGCGTCTCTCTCTCTATCTATCTATCTATCTCTCTCTCTCTCTATCTATCTATCTATCTTTCTATCTGTCTCGCTATCTACCTATCGCTCTATGTATCTAATTTTATCGTTTCTATATCTCGCTTTTGTACCCATTGCTAACGCGAGCGGTCTTTCTACCGCCACATCCAAGTCGCCATCATGGCCGACGACCTCCTGCAGATGTTCCAGAGCATCACGACGAGCGACCACGACGAGCTCGTGGACCAGTTCGCGCACCTGCTGCAGCTCGACGTGCAGACCGCCACGTTCTTCCTCGAGTCGTGCAACTGGAACGTCGAGACGGCCGCGAACAACTACCTCGTGACGCTCGAAGCTGCGGGCGGGAGCAACGACCGAGGAGAGACGACGGACGGCGTGGAAGATCTGTCGATGGAAGACGAGGGCGAGGACGGCGGTCACGGCCAATGGAGTGGAGCGCGTGCACAAGTGCCAAGTGCTGTCCCGTACCAGGCGCAGTGCACAAGTGACTTGTCGGCGCTGCAGCACACGCTCTTGGCCCCCGAGACAGCAGTGCAGTTGGTAAGGACACGGGGTTTGCTCGTGGTGGTGTGTATGTGTGTGTATGTGTGTGTGTGTGGTAACGAGGACGGATTGATGGCTGGACGGCTACTGACGTGTGCTTCTTCTTGTCTGTGCGGTGGTGTTGTTTGCATTTGCTGTGGTCTCGTGGATGTCTCGCTGTTGTATGCAGCACTGGAGCTTTCTCAATACGGGACAGGAAGCGTGGCCGACGGATACGCGACTGCTGTTCGCACAAGGCACGAGTTTCCGCGGGCCAGAGCAAACCAACGTCGTGCCAGCGGTCGTCGGCCAGCGGGTCGAGATCCACGCGTCACTGTGCATGCCATCAGAGCCAGGGTCGTACGCTGGCAGCTGGAGGCTGCACTGCTCGCGGGGGTTCTTCGGCGATCCGGTATGGGTTGTTGTCAACGTTGGCACACATGAGGCAGCTGCGGCGTTTGCACTACAGCATCAACAGACGGCGGTAGCAGCAGCATCGGCAGGCAGCGGCGATCCGTCCAAGTTCCACTTCACTGCAGATGACCGACAGCCTTCTTCAGCTGTGGTGGAGGACATGGACCTGTAGTAACAACGTCTTTCTCGTTGTTGACACTTGAAAACTGGACCAAGTGAGTGCGCGTCGACTTTGTGTGGCTCCTACTTCCTGTGCAAACAGCTACACGAACGAACGTAGGAAGCGCGGACAGGGCGGGACGAGAGGCCACATCGCCTGCTTGTCGTAGGACTGACTGACTGACTGACTAATTGCGGTGCCGAGAGTGAGCGAAAGCACATGCACCGAGTGCTGCACATCACGTCTACACGTTATACATACCGTCTAGTGGGGTGAGCGACCACAGCAAGAACGCGATCTACTCCGAGTACCAATGTATAGCATTCATTATGATTGTTTCCTGCCCTTGTTTTCATGCTACCCCTTCTCCGCGAAGGTCACGCCGCGTCCTGCTTCACTCTCATCCAGCCGCGTAGCACCAGCACCAGCGTCGCACCCCACCCCCTTTCCATGCTGCCAAGAGCATCTCCACAGTACCTTGTTCAAGCCGGTCTGCTTCCCGCTCAAGATGCCAACGGACGACGTGCGCAACACCGTGCGACGCAGAGGACGTACAGTTCCGCGGTTCAAAACCTTTTGCTGTACACATCGCAGTTTACTCGTCTGTAAATCCCGTAACTTCCATATTTATCACCAGTGACAGCACGTCTTCCAGCTCCCGCTTTGACTTGTACAGCGGCAGGTCGATGCGGTTGAAGCACGTGTGCGCCCGTGGATACGCGTGTTCCGGGAAAGCAACGGCTTTCAGCGTAAAGTGGCATATACGCCCGTCATAACTTGTTAGCGCCTTGAACCCCTGCACAGGCACACGTGACGAGCCCGTCGTGAATTGCAACAGGCGCGCGCGCTCCTCGTCCGAAAAGGCCTCGACAGTCTCCCAGAACCACGATAACAGCTCTTCGGGAAGCTCATCGGACACCTGCGTGTGCGCCTTCCAGTCTTCCACATCAATGGATGGCACACCACATAGCACCAGTTCCAGCTCCTGGTAATCAAACACGAGGATCAACTCTTGGGGGATGACCTCAAATACACCAGCCATAAGGTGTTGCAGCTGTTCCGCATACGAATCCAGCATGATGTACCGCAGGCGCAGGTAGATGTACTCCTGCTTATTCTCATCAGACAGCTCGATGTCTTTGCCGCCTTCCTTCAGATCAATCGTTTCCACCTCGCCGTTCAGCTTGCGGTTGGTGACTGTGAAGTCCAGTCCGAGCGCATCCACTCCATCGTTCTCTTTCATCCACTTGAGCGAATTGTACACTTCCTGGTCAAAGAACTCCAAATCACTGAACGAAATGGGAACCCCCAGCAAGTGCTTTAACACAGGAAGCGCCAAGTGAGCCTTCATCAACTGACCTTCCAGCAACGCACGACCCAAAAGCCGGCCTGCGCCACGGAAGTACAACAAGTGATCTGCCGAGGCTTCGACAGAGTTCGGGTTAATGACGTACGCCAGTGAGTCCACGTGCGCACACATGAACAGACCAATCGTTTCGTCAAACAGACGCTCCGTCACGAGCGAAAACCACTCACGCTCCAAGCCTCCTGCATCAATCGCGATCTCACCAATAAACTCAATGCGAAGCGGCATGTGGATGTGTTCCATCTGTACACCCAGCAGCTGCTCCATCGACTCGACGAGAATATTCTCACGGTGTACGCGCATTTTCAAATGCCCGTCTTCCCACGGCTTAATCAACGCCGACGTCTGTTCCAAGAACCACGCGTACTTGTCCTTAAACGGCAGCGCAGCCACCTGTTCCAGGATCTCCAAGTCCTGTTCCGATATCTCATAGCCACGCGACGCCACGCGGGCATCCACTTCCCGGTATTCCTTAAACGTCATGCGACCTTCCGGATGGCGCGGCGTTTGCGCCAACTGCGACACAAACGCCAGTGACGGCTGATGCACCAACTCCTTCCCCGAGTCCGTCGTTCCAGTCACAGGAGCCGTCGTCGACCCTGCAGCACCTGCACCGCTCTTCGGCGACTGCAGCCCAGCGTCCAGCGACGCGACATCGATCCGTAGACTCGAGACCTGGACGGGCTCGTCGGACGCACTCAACTGGCTCTTGTTCTCCGCCACGGGCTTCGCGTTGCCCAATGGAAACGGCAGCTCGCGCTTGGCCCAATAGCGTTTCCCATCGGTCCCGACTTTCCGGACCCAGTCCTGTCGATTCCGAGCGCCGCGTTGACGCGCGTTCAGCATATTGAGCCGTCGAATGGCAAACGACCGCGTGCGGTTGAAACTCTTCTCGCGCGAGACGTCGGTCCCGACGGTCAACGAGCCAATGGCCGTCGAGGCCGTCGAGGCCGTGGGGGCGGCCCGGGGCGAGTGCAGCCCGAGGCTAAAGCCGCGCTCGGTGCCGCAGAGCACACAGGCTTTGGTCGAGCTCTTGTTCTGGAAGTCACACACTTCGCACTGCCACTGCGTCGTCACTTCGTCCTGCGTCTCTTGCACGTCTTGGCGCGTCATTGGCTGTCCGTCTTCCGTGTACTGGCCGCCGAGGAGCGGCTGTTGCAGGTTTTCGTCGAATCGCGCGCGGCGACAGCAATAATAGACGATAATTATGACCAATAAGCCGCCAGTGACATAGGCGAGCCACGTGGGCAGCGAGTTGCCAGAGGCCGCGACCACGGGCGCGTGGGCGGCCGACAGCGCGAGCGGGAGCCATAGCGTGGAGGGCGGACGCATGGGGCCTGCGGCGGGCGGGGCGGGGCGGGGCGACGGGGCCAGGCAGAGGGGGGGAGAGGCCGCGCACGAGAGCGAGCGCGCGCGGACTTGCTGAAGGTCGTACGAAAGTCGCAACAAAAAGAGTGAGTGAGAGAGAGAGAGAGCGAGCGAGAAGAGTGAGTGAGCGAGCGTTTTGGCCAGGGAAGAACTGGCCCAGTGGCGAGGGGTGGCAAAGTACGCGAGGTGATTGGTTGAAACGATGATGGGAGAGACCAAGTGCGGCGCGCTCAGTGGCGCAAATCGATTTAACCACGATGCGCTCGTAGACGAGAGTGAGCGCAGAGGGGAAGGGGAGCGCGGGTGTTAGACATTCGAGCGCGGTCTTGTCTATGCTCGCCTCCCGCCCGTGTCTCGTTTTTGACCCAGTGGGTTTTCTCACTCGCAAAAAACCAAACTAATTAACTGCCTCTTCTTCTTCTCCTCCTTCTTCTGCTCTCTCTCTCTCTCTCACGTGGTGTGAGCGTGGCGTTACTTTTGGCCGTGTCGACGCTTTACTTGTTGTACGACAAAGACCACGTCGTCGTACTTAATTGGTCGTACACGCAACGCGCTACTCCTCTCGACAGCTAAAGCCCGACATGTCCGCACTGAAGCTCGTGGCCCCCTACGGCCGACGGCGCTCCGTCTTGTCGTCAGTCCGCGACCACAGCCGCCGCTCCAAGTTCCCGCACATCAGCTCCGCGTCTCGGCGCAGCTCCGCTTGCCCACACACCCCGTCAAAGACCGGTCGCCAGAGCCTCAGTCGTGCTGCAAACACGACGCTCGTGCTGCCTCCCGGTCCTCAGTATCATCCACTGAATGACTGTGGAGCTGCCAGACGTGCACGAGCGCGCTCGCCCCTGCAACGCACGCGCATAGGAGGAGCGCCGTTTCCCAGGCACGGAGCGCGCGGTCGCTGGTCGTGGCCGCGCCGAACACGTCGCCCGTGCCGCTGCCGCGACAGACGCTGCTGTTGCACGCAAAGCCGATGCGCATGTGCTCAGCATCGAACAGCGTGTAGTACGTCTTGAGGAAGACGTCGCCGAGGACCCAGCAGTGGTCACTGGACGCCTGCAGCTGGAGCGTGCACTGGCCGTAGTCTGCACACGAGATGTAGTCCTGAGGCTGCAGCAAGAGGACGTGGTCGGGCGCTATGCCAAAGCGCAGCACGGGAAAGTCGTTGACTGCGACTGCGCTGCAGTGGACGCCGTCGCAGTCACAGTCGCGGGTGATCGCGCGGACCACGTCGTCGAAGTGACGGGCTGGGACGCTGATGAAGGACGTGCCCGTGTCGACGATCGCGTAGCAAAAGGGTCGACACAGTGTGGCAAGGACGACACTCTCGAGATGGCTGTCGTTGCTGCTGTCAGTGTGCGCCTCGTCGTCCGTGGCAAGCACCGAGAAGTCGTTCATCTGGATGCTCCAGTACAGGAACGCGTCGAACGGGGGCAGTTGGACCACGGGCGTGTAGTGAAAAGACGCGTTTGGACCGACGACGGACAAGTCGTAGCCCCCGAGGTGTAGTTCACTGCCAGTGCGAGAAGCTTCGGGCGTGAGGTGGAACGCAAACATGTTTGCCAAGTCTGCATGTTGTCCTGCAAGCTTTGCAAACGCAGTTGGCCGCGTGATGTGGGCGAGGTTTTCGAACCCTAAGCCAAAGATCCCGTCGGCTAGAAATGTCTGGAGTCTGGTACTCTCTGCGCGAGCTACGCCAAAGCGGACGTTCGTTACGGCATAGCCGGAGACAGTGATTGAGTCGATGCCCACCGTGCCCGACACTGAGCCGCTGCCGTACTGAGAGCAGTCGAATGCACACACAACAACGACAACAACAACAACAACAACAACGACAAAACCAACAATAAGGTCCGAAGAGTATGCACGAAGCACGACACGAACGAGCGGTACGAACGTACACTGACCTCATCGTAAAACTTCGCTCTCGTATCGAAGAACGTCGTGGACTGCAGCGCATCGAATCGATGATGCGGACTACAACTTGCACAGTGCACCCCGGGGACCCACGTGTCACTAGAGCCAGTGTCGAAGGCCATGTCCACGTACTGCGGGGGGTTCCCGATTCCCACGGAGCCGACATACTGCACGTTGCCAAAGTTCTGGAGCGTGACACGGTTTCCACGTGGCAGTGCTTCATGGTTTCCCGACTTTGTGGTTTCATCGACAGCTGCACGAGTGCGAGTCGATGGAGAAGCCACACCGTTGACATCGATGGAGTTTGTTGTCGTGGTCACAATACCGATAGCGAGTTCACGTCTGGCAAGGGATACTCGGAGCACTGCTGCGACAGCAGATTGGAGCACACTTGAGGCCAGTAGTAGGACGCCGGTCAGTTGCCATACCGTCCGCATGGAGAGGAGCTACGAGGGCCATTTATTTAGGCAAAAGTAGGCAGACAGGAGGGGTTGTGCAGGAGAGGAGGGGCCCAGTGGAGCCCACCGATTGGTACGACCGGTACGACGCGATTGTGGCGAAAGGAGCACGGTGCATGGGTGATGTGAGATGTTTGCACCATGAATGGATAGATACGTGTAGAGGCATCGCGGGGATGGGCGAACGGACGGACGTACGTACGTGCCATCGACAGAGTGGACAGTCGAGAAAGATGACGGTCTCACGCATCGACTGGTGGAAGTCACGGAGGACACCAACTGCTGCTACGCAAGTAACAAGGAGAGACGCATGTTTGCGCGGCGTTGATAGTGCTTGTTCTGTTGAGACTGGCTGAACGGTGTCTCGCACCTCTCTGTTGGTTCGCATGGCATCAGCGAGCAACGCTTGGACTCGCTATCAAGCTCCAGCCCGGGTGATCTCATCGATGCTTCATCGGCCATCTCCTGTCGCGCTACGTACGCACAAAAAATAATCCATCGTCCGCCTCGGACACGTCGATCATGGAGATACACATCAGTCAAGATCTCGTAATCGAGCCCTTCAACACGCGTAGATCGATGCCTGCAGACTGCAAGCACTGCCACAATTCAGTCGCTACCGACGGCAAGCAATGTCTCCGCTCATCGTGACCGTGGACGCAAATCTCAATCACACATCGATGGACCGACTGCGTCCTGCGATAGCCGATTGATTGTCCGGCTCGCGTTCCGCATCAATCCAACATTGTCGCTCGACTCGAGCAGCACTGTTTCTAAGGCTCGATGCGCTGCGCTTCCGTGAGGTCGTCGCCACTATCTTTGCGCATGGCACAGACCCGTGAGATTCGAGGCCTCGTGACGCCCCGGAACTTCCTTTGTGGACTCGCCGTTTCCCTCATGTTTACGGTCCTGTCGTAGCCGCCGAAAAGAGTGCAGCGTCGATGTGTCTCCCGACTTTCGGCATGGCGAGGTCGATTGCGCTGAACTGGTCGTCTACAACCCCTACGAAAATTTCGGAACGGACGGCGAGCGGCTGGTGGCCGTGTGACAAGAGGCGTAAGCACAGCGATAGAAGAGACCGAGCTGAACCGTGCGACTCGTTGTTGTGCCAAGACAGATCGTGGAAGCACACTGCGCTGTTTTGGGTCGCTCTGTCGTTTCTGTGGCGCCCGCCGCTCATTGGTACGGCCGTGTAGAAAATATCGCAGGGCAGTTCCTTGTTACACACCAGGCAACCGGCTGTCGCGTGACACGACTCCCCATGTATTGCACTTGTGCTGCTACTTGCTGTTGTCCTCAATACGTGCCGCGGCGGCAGAGTGTTACACAGAAGAGGGAGGACAGTAATGGTTGTCAAAAAAGCAGTAATTAGGTTAGGTTCGCTGCTACAAGACAACGACAGTCAAGCGAGTCGAGCAATGTGACGATAGCGCTTGAAGATGATAGTAACTAGTTTCGGCATACGGCTTGACGTTGCAGTAGTCACGTCGATCGTCCAGAGTCGGGCGACGAACGATATGAGCGTCGAGTTGCAGCAGCACTTGTGTCGAGGTCAAATGATTGCAACGCGTTTCGTCGAAAGCATGCCGGCACTGTGTTGTACCATTATATGTGCGCCAGGAATGAAGAGAATTGTCTGAGACTGCAATTGTACAATGAGGTCTCCTACCAAAGTGCCACCCACACTGTCAGCCCTCTGTTCCCATGTGGCCTATAGCTCGTCCTTCATGATTTTCCGCAGCTCATAGGAAATGTGAATGGCACTTGGACGTTGGGCCGGGTCAAATGACAGACATGCGCGTGCGAGCTTCACGACGGAAGACGGGCATGACTCGTTAAAGCTTGGCTGCAGCTTGCCTGCTGACACGAGCTGCAGAATCGTCACGTCCTGCATTTTACCGCCATTCGTATTGGTAGCGTCGTAAAATGGGGCCTTGCACGTGTCCAGTTCCGACAGCACCACCCCGAAAGAGTAAATATCGGCGAACTCCGTGTAGTGTCCGCCTAGAATGACCTCCGGGGCAATCCAGCGTGCCGTACCCACGCCAGCCGTCATGGTCTCGTCAAAGCTACGGTTGCGCGAGATGCCGAAATCACTCAGCTTAGCACCGCTCTGCGCATCAATGAGCACGTTTCGAGACTTCAAGTCACGGTGGATGAGTTTCGGATTCAGTGTGTGCAAGTACACCAACGCGTCTGCAATGTCAATGGCGATCTGGCACTTCAGATTGGCCCACGTCAACGAGCCGGCACGACTCGAGTCCAGCAGTGACTTGAGATCACCGCAGTCCATGAACTCCGTCACTGCCTGGATCGTCAGTGCATTGGTCCACGAGACACCAATGAAATGGACGATCTTGGGGTGCTCCAGACGTGCCATTACCTTGATCTCCGTCGCAAATGCCAGCGCGTCTTGCATGGTTTTCTTGTCGCTCAACAGCCGCTTGATGGCGACGTTCTCGTTCATGTACAAGCCTAGCCAGACTTCACCAAAGCCACCGCGAGAGAGCAGCTTGATCGCCTCTACATCACGGTGCTCAACGCGCACCGCAAGAAGATCCGGATCGTCCCAGATCGACGAGCCAAACGTCGTGTCGCCACCCGTAAGGCTCGAGCCCATGTCCGTGCCAAAGACTGTCGATCCACCCTTGGTGGCAAACGTTCGGCCGTGTTTCTTGCGGTACCACACAAACACAATGACGGCCAGCACCAGAGCGCCACAACCCACGCCAAGCACAATGGCGACTGTGCGTCCACTGCCGCTCGACGACGACGTCGAAGCTGCGCACACCTGTGCTTCAGCGTTGCTTAGCTTCGTGGCCGAGTAGCCTGAGCCACAGTCTGTGATCGTCACGTCGGCATCAAAAGCTGCCAAATTCTGCAGCAGCGCGAGCTGCGTGTCCGTCACTTGCACGTTTGACAAGTTGCAGCCGACCATGTACAAGGATTTGAGTGCGCCAGATTCTGCCATCGTGTACACATTGTCTGGGATGCTCGTGTACACATTTCCCGACAGGTTCAGTGTCTGCAGATTATTCAGCACGACGGGGAACTCCGCGAGCGTATTCTCAGCCAAGTTGAGGTCCGTGACAGTGCCAAGACCTGCCCAGACGTTACTGGTATTGTCCGGCAACTCCGAAATGTAGTTCAGCGACAGGTCGAGTTTCGTTATGGCCGAGAACGTGCCAAGCTGCTCTGGAACTTTGTTCAAATTCGTGTTGGTCAGAAACAGCGTCGAGTACGTTGTCGCAAGCTTCACAGACGAGAGGATGTTCCGCAGGTTGACACTGATCAGGAACATACTCACGACACTACTGGGCGTATCAAAGAACGACTGGTCCAGCGAAATGTCCTTGATCACGCTTTTATCAATCGACTCGCTCGGCACGCCTTGCAATTGACTAACAACAACAACAACAACAACAACAACATGACACCCATAGATTGTAAGTACAGGATACACACACACACACACACGCAGCGTCCCTTTCACATCTTCGGCCCACTTTTTTCCTCTTCGAACAAATATAGAGCAAACCCAGCAGCACACTGCCCCTATCAACGACCCGAATAGAGTACGTACACGGATAGAGTCGAGCTGCTGTAACTCAAGTTGGACACCTGCGTCACGTGCGCCATGGTCTTTTCGGCCGTATCGGCGTTCGCTTCCAGGGTCAAGAACCACTGATTGCCGTCCCATAACAACGTATCCAGGCACTGATAGGTCAGTTCACACTCGGACGACGACCCGGGCGCCTCGTAGTCGCTCTGGTTGTAGCACGGCCCACTGGCGCCCAACTCGATGCATTCTTTCTGCGACGGCGAGTACAGGACACACGGCGTACTGGCACAGCGCGACGGACAGCCCACCGACGTGAGTACGTTTTGCGTGAGCTCCGTGCACACATCAGCTCTTGGGGCGCCGAGGTGGAGCGATAGCCATAGCGCCAAGAAGCGCCACATGACGGGGCGATGGACGGACGCTCGAGGCGGAGATTGGAGAATAACGCGCTCGGATAGAGCACCACAACAACAACAACAACAACAGCTGTATTTTGCACGACGACGGTATGTCTAACCGCGCGCGAGGGTTGAAAAAGAACGCCAGCCGAACTGGATACATGGAAGACGGGCTAGGGGAACCAGCTACGATGAGCAGCGGGAGAAGCCGCGCGCCGTAACTGGCGCTTTTTTATTGTGTGGCGAGGTATCTAAATTGTCGTGGCGCTGCTGGGTATACGCATCCGCGTGTATACCGAAGACTTGAGGTACGCTATCGCGCTCCAGTCAGTGTCAACTACTCCATCGCCACCGCATTCATTTAGAGAGCTGCTGGTGATTCGGTCTGCATACCGTTCTACGTCAGTTGGCACCATCTGTGAACAGGAGTACGTGTTGTCACCGCAACTGCCTCGACAACCGGCCGAGTCAATTACGGCAGCGGCGCTTAGTCTTTTTGCGGTGAATGGATCTGGTGTCACTTCAACGGCAACGGCAGCACTGCCGAGTTCTACTTCGGATCGTGAGGATAAGTTCCAATACATACTCGTTTCGTGCGCCGTGTCAGAGCCATGTTCGTCGAGTTCATACGCCTTTGTGCACAAGGACACTATGCATTGTGTCAAAGGACATGTCATTGGTCGTTACTTGCGAGCACGACCAGATCCACTTCTTCCGCGGCGTACGACTCGTGATCGCCTTCCAGCATCTCACCACAACAAGAACCCTTCGTGCGATTCGTCATTCTATACATGCCCAAGTACGACACGCTGTAGGCTGTCGAGAACGGTGGAATCTCGTGTCATACAGACGGGAGTCAGTGGGTGGATTGGCGCCACACACGCCGAATGATGCGAGGAGGCATGATGAGACACCCTTTCATCGGAAGCGCCGTCTGTACGTGGCGTGTTGCTTGGACTCTATCGACGTGTACAGCACCAATGTCTTCGATGTATCGTATCATACGCCCATCTCAACGGCACCGAGAAGGGAGCGAAAGACGATGGGCGGAATGTTTCCCGTCGCTTCCGCTTCGTCGTTCAGGTCCACAAGTAACATGCGTAAAGCACGCCAGCCTTGCACCGTCACGCACGTGAGCGAGCATTTCGTCGATCTGTTCGATCGGCTGTCGTGCAAAATGGTGTGTCCCGCCTTCGCGAAACCGGGCAAGCAGTAAGGAGGATATTCAGCATAGATCGCAACTCTTGTCTGCATGATATCAAGTGACTTCCACGAAATGTTGGCGCTTGAAACGGACTCATCTCCTCCACAGCTGGATGAAGCGACAATCCAAACGGTACGTAGTGGTATTGACGGTTCAGAATTTGAAGCCATACACATCCTCAGTGGAGACGGCTGGTTTCGCGGCCACGTACACCATCATCTGCGCCTCCACCAAAAGACTGAGCACCATTCTTCGGACTAGTACCAATACTGGGCGTGAAAATGTACATTGCCCCTTTCAAAAGTGTCCCGTGTCAGTGGAACTCCCAGATAAAGGTTGATGTCGAATACGGTGCTTATTCTGTGGCACAATCTTCTGTGTCCTCTGCATATTGTCAGTCTCAATGGATCAAAATGAAGTCAACGGCTAAGTGGCGGAGGCGGAGGTTAGCAATCAAACCACACACGTCGAGCTTGGTCGGATCGATCCGACAGATGTGAACCAACTTCAATGTTGGTAGTGAGTGTATTGATTGTGCGATATCCTTAGCTCCAATGTATCTTTTGCCAACACTTGTGGTTCAACGCACGACAACAAGACGTCGGATCGAATTGCCGATGATCGTTCTGTCGCGAGTCTCAAGATACATTCCGAGATTGTGCAGCGATGCTTTGTACCTGCCTGTAACGTCTAGCACGACTCTTGTAGAGCCATAGATAGACGATAGCTCACGAAGGCTGACGAAACTTATTGACCTTTGGCGTGCGTGTCAAGTGTAAGACATCTACCGCCATGATAAGTCCTCTTCGCATCAAAGCCCAGCAAAGCATCCTGACCTTAGATGGGTAATGTGTTCTGCCTTCTGTCCTCCGTTCTTGTAGTGTCGGTTCGTTAAAACCATGAGTGCGCGCACTTATCATCGCAGCAGCGACACGGTGACTTTTGAGCTGAATTGGTCGGTAAAGCCGAAAGTACTGTAATTGTGCCATCTGTTTGTGTGAAAAGCAGCGTAACTGTGCTTTGTGGGTCCTTCCTTTCGATTGTGTACCCTGTTGTCACGCTGAGCAAATCAACATCTTTGACAGTCGGCCTAAGTAGCTGCTTCGATTTCCGGCAACTGATGTTTCTTACTATGAGAACACACATGATGAGAGTGCGCAACGGCCTGGCAAAGCCGACACGCGTGGTTGGTACTAACAAACGATCCACGCGGAAGGACGATGCTCTGGCAGTATTCATTGTGCGCGCACATGTAGTGATACAACAACTGGAAGTACTTTGAAGCGTGGCCACCGCCAGTCATACAAACTATAATCCAGTACAGTAAATCAAACGTTTTTGGCCGCCCACGACGTGCTTCTTGTTTTCGATGTGACTGATGTGTTTGGCCGCGGCACAGCATGGGACGGGTAGATTAGTACTCGAACGGCTGCTGTTTGTCATATTCAGCAGGCGAAGCCTCATTAATCTTCGCACGTCATCTACGTATTCTACCCGGCCAAAAAGCCTGTTCCATTAACATCTCACAGCGTCGCGAATACAACAGAGGCGACGTGCAATGACATTCTTTGGCGACTTTTGGCGATAGTGTTCGCACACGTGTATGTAGCTGAGTATAGTCTCGATGGTCTTGACCTGGAGCGTATCAATTGAACCCTAGTCAGTATGAGTTAGACCAAAAGTCAGGCCAAGAATGACATGCGAAGAACTGTGAAGCAATTTACAGAACGTGGTAGCCTGCTGCGAATGGATTCCAGACCCATGGACGCGGACAGTTGCGACGATTGACTCAGAACTAGCCATAGCGGGCAAGACCCGTATGTTTCGCCATTCCTTCCTCTCGATATTCATCTACGGCGCAGCCCTCCAAGGCACGCCCGATTCTTCAACTTGCTTCTTGCTTTACTTCACTACGTCACTTGACTCTGGTTAGTAAACATGCATGGCTCAATCTCAGCGAAAGAATGCCGTTTGCGTGTGGTGCGCAAATGTCGGTAGTGAAAAATAGCACCAACAATGCTTAATGTAAATGCAATCACGAATCTGCATAGAATCAACAAGTAAATATGCGTACTGGTGATGTACGTCTTGTGCAGCATTGCGGCATTTTTACTGTGGGCGTCCTGTTTACTAAATGGCGACCTCATCTCTGTACCCGTCGTCGTACGCCAATCCAGCCGCACCACGACAGTCCATCTCACTAGTTTAGTGGTGTAAATAGTCAACACCTCCACAGGTTCGCTTGTCAATCGACTCGCACTTATCGAATCAATCAGTAGCGACTTGTTTCACACGCACTCCGATCCGCAACATCCAAGGTTCTCTCCAGATAGCGGAGTAGCTATGGCTGAGCCCAAATCGCGGTCATTGCAAGCCACGCTAACGAACGATTCGTCCGGCTGGCTGTGCTGGGCTTTCTAGATGGTGTATCCGTTGACCTAACTGAACGTACGCAACAGCCCATGAATGCGCGATGTGGTCGGCTGTTTCAATCGAACGTGACGTCCGATCTTGGTCAAACTCGCAGCACTTGCTTTGCTGAGATGGGCACAGCTACTAATTGCAATCCTGGTAAGCGCTCCGCGTCATGAGCGCGACGATATAACGATGCATTGATCTCACTGCTTTTCACGCTTCTGCTTGTCTGTGTACAGGATACCTCGACTGTCGACTGTCCTCCGCTACGTTTGGTATTCGACATGCGGATGGCGGCTGGATTCGCAAGCGACGTGTGTTCGGGTATTCTACTTCCCATACTCCGCGATCCCCCTTTGATGTCAGAAGGGTGTGCCTCGATGCTGCTTATGCTCCCGTATCTCACCAAGCACACGCGAGATGGCAAAGTCGAGAAGTTGACCGTCGAGGAGCTAGTGTACGCACAGTGCTGCTAAGTCTACGTACGTCACACGGACACGCACATGCAGTGACCCAAACTTTACGGTCGAAATGCTTCCCTGTTACATCTATCAGCTCCGACAGATCATTAGCAACATCGACCCGTCGAGCCTCTGCTGTCCCAGAAGCACGGACGCGTCACTTTGAATGACGACAAGGAATGCGAACAAATGATGCGTCGGCAAGCACACGAGTTGGAAGAGTTTATGCCTGACAAAGACCCTCCGCGGTTTGCGATGCTTTGTCCGGACTTCAAAGACGCGACCGAACAAGTCGTGCCCCAAACAAAACGAGCTACAAAGTGAGCAGCTCAAGCTACGACGGACGATATGCATGGTCCATACCGACATGAGGGGTTGCTTCAGCTCCTCTGTTGCGAGCGCATGAGCGAGCTTTGCTTTCTGTCTCCAGCGACTATGACTTGCAGCATTCACATTCGTCCGAATGATGCTGCCAAAATCGTTGTCGGTGTCAGAAATTGATGCAGCATAACAGTCACGCTGTACTGCGTATCGTTGGGACGACGGCGGCGATGTTGCTGGGGAACAAAGTCCTGACAGATGCAATGCGTGTAGACGCTGACGCAAACTCACAGTAATAGGCACACGGAGCTGTGTCTAACGTAAACGATCGAAACCATGACAACAGCCGTAACACTGCCCAAACGAGAGGTATGGCATTGAAATGCTCAGAATAGCACCATCCTTCCGTAACAGACGGACGCGACGTCGAGTGCGATGCTTTGCAGAACAAGATGCCCGAACAATGAACGATCGGGCTGCAACTAAAGAGGCGCGACATACGAATGTTTCGTCGCGGGACAAGCGTCTAACTATGTTTGGATCCATTCTGTTGTGCGAATCGGTGAGAGCGTGTCACACAAGGAGTGTGCTCAACAGGTTGA